CAAACTGGACTGAGTATACAAAAACAGCAGGAGCACGATAAAGCTGTACGCTAGGAGGGCAGGATTCAACTCGTTGACAGAGTTCCGCAAACTAGCGGAGGAAGTAGAAGAAATAGAGGCAGAGGACCGGACACAGGCAAGCCAACCTGCACAGCAGCAACCGGAGATATGCTGCGGAGGAACCGGACATGCGGCAAACACGTGCAGCTGGATCTGTGGAAGAAACGGTACGAGAACCAAGGAGTGCTGCAAGAGACCTGAGCAGTTGAAGCTGGCAGCTCAGGCGGCAATAAAGGAGCGAGCAGCAGGGGAACAGCTGTGTTCCGACGGGTTCCAAGTAGTAGCCCGGATAAGGGTCGGAAACAAGACAGCGAAAGGAACCGTGGACACAGGAGCATCAAGAAGCGCGATAAGCAGAAGCAAATATCAAGATCTGAAGCAACAAGGCAAATGGTGTGGAACCTGAGCAGAAATAACAATGGCCAACGGAGCAACGCAGAAGGCGATAGGAGAATTCGCGGCAGAAATCCAATTTGGAGAGCGTTCAGGGTAATATTCATGATACTAACAGAAGTGGCAGGAGGAATACTGTTAGGAATGGACTTTCTAGCCGGGGCCCGCAGCACGCTGAGGTGTGGAGGCTTGGAGCTAGAGATAAGAGCAGCCGGAGACAAAGTGGACCAACCGGAGACAAAAACGAATACCAGGGACTTAGGCGTAGTCCAGAATGGAAAGGGAAAATGGAATGAGGTAGCAGACGCCTTACCCAAGCAGCACAGGACGAGTTGAAAGCAATAGAGGTTTCGGACAACTGGATTAAGGAGAAGTAGAAGGGTTCACAGCAGAAAAAATCAAGGAAGACGCGGATGAAAGTGGCAGTAAAAGACCCGAACACACGGAAAACAAAGAGGATTTACATTGAAGACACTAAGCCGTACGAAGGAACAAATACAATACAATACAAATACGCACGAAAGCGGACGGCACCGGCGAAGAGGAGGGGCAACATGAAGACTTCGGCACCGCAAACAACCAGTAACCAAACCATAAGTGCTGTAGCCAAAATCGTCCAGGATAGCCGAGCAGCCGAGACAACGGACCGGGATATACTAAAGCTCCATGAGGAGGAGCACAACGACGAAGGATGGACACTATCAGAAGGAGCGGTAATATCAAGAACGGCAAGAGACAGTATCAAGGAAAAGCTAGCAGGAAAAAGAATTGGAAGGCAGCGCCGATGGCTAATAAAGGATGGAGAGACAACCTGGCGAGTGGTGTCGAACAGGGGAAACTACGTCACGATTCAATACCACTAAAATCCATAACGGAGGGGAGTGTGACGCTGCGCGCACAAAAACAAGACATAAATAAATAAAAAGACTAAAAAAAGTTAAACGAAAGGAGCGTTTAATTCAGATTCAAATTAAGAACGCGCGCGCAACCGATCGCGAGCGTAGGGTCACACGAGACCGAGAGAGATGGTCACACTTAGATGGTCCCACAGGCGACGGACACACTAGATCTCGCCGAGCCCTATATAAGACGGACCACGGGCCATAGAAAGGCACTTAGCAGCCAACCGTCTAAGGGTACAGAGGCAACTCCCCAGTGGTGGTAAGCAGAGAAGTCATTTTTTGGTGGACTAGATAATTCGATCCAAGTCCGCTTATACATTGTAGTTAGCTTCCGTAATACTTCCTCCTCCCACTAACCTTCTCGGCTTGTCGGTTCGAAGGTATCACTAGGAGACGTCTGATTTCAGGATCACACCTCCTTACGGCGCGGTTCACCGGCCGAACTCTCTCTCTTGCGGGTTACTTCAGGGTCCCAAGCAACATTCTCGCTCTCTTGCGGCTGACCTCAGGGTCCCCAAGCAACTCACTCTCTCTCTTGCGGCTGACCTCAGGGTCCCCAAGCAACTCACTCTCTCTCTTGCGGCTGACCTCCGGGTCCCCAAGCAACATTCTCTCTCTTGTGGCTGACTTCAGGGTCCCCAAGCAACATTCTCTCTCTCTTGCGGCTGACCTCAGGGTCACCAAGCAACATTCTCTCTTTCTTGTGGCTGACCTCAGGGTCCCCATGCAACATTCTCTCTCTTGCGGCTAACGTCAGGGTCCCCAAGCAACATTCTCTCTCTTGCGGTTGACTTTCGGGTCCCCAAGCACCAAAAAACTCTCTCTCGCTCGTGGCTGACTTCAGGGTCCCCAAGCACCCCATTCTCATTTCAGGCTCGCTACGTGGCAGCCCACCCCGGGCACTATTCTCCCGCAGCCGAGATCCCGTGCTGTTCCTCTCGAGCAGCTGAACGGCGCCCGATACCAGGTATTCTAAGCGGACGAAGGAAGCAAAGGCAGCAAAGGTTGCACCCCGCCAACTCGGAGAATTCGTTTGTTGTTAATCAAATAAATAAAACCTAGTTCTAATCAATTACTAAGTAATTCCCCACGACTTCTACTCTGGGCTGGGTCGGAACTCTCTTTCAGCAACCAAGCCTGACACAAACAAATTCTTGTGACGAACCCTGGCCATCCCTGAGCCACCCGACAATGACAAACCGTCACAATTTACAGAAAAAAACTCATTTGAAAAATTTTTTCGAAAAAATCATGACCCCCACCCATATGACAAAGCCAAAATCCGAAAAAACACATCGATTTTTCGGTTTTTTAATCAAAACCGTGGGAAATAGTGGTCGAATGTTGGAATGGCATACCTCGTTGGATTCGTTACAAAATTTTCAACATAGTATCATTTACAGAATAAAAAAATCATTTAAAAAATATTTTCGAAAAGAAATCATGTCCCCCACCCCATTATGTCAAGGCCAAGATCCGGATAATATCAGCTCGATTTTTCGGTTTTTTAATCAAAACCCTGTAAAAAAGTGGTCCTATTTTAGAACTAAAAATAAAATAAAAAAAAAAATTTAAAAAAAAATTTTTAAAAAAAAAAAAAAAAAAATATTTCTGCTCGCTACGTAAACGTGCGGCTAGCTCAGAGAGGTTGTGAGTTCGTTCCACCAAATTTGTATTGAGTGACCGCCCGTGACCAAAGGATAACGCCAGAAATGATTAGGTTGGTGCTGGTTTATTAACTCTCTAAAATATAGCCTTATTGCTATGATTCTGCTGCCCGTTGTCGCTGTCTCCTGCTGCGTTGCTCCTGGCTCGCTGCTGCTCTGCTCCTGGCGTGCTGCTGCGTCGCTCCTGGCTTACCGCTGCGTCGCTCCTGGCCTGCTACTGCGCTGCTTCGGCTTGCTGCTCCGGGTGACTGAGATCGGGACGGCTCCACCAAAACCCTGGATGTTATGCGAGCTTCCCTACCGGGGCCGGCAAGGTGTATCGCCTAGCAGGTGAACCGAAGTTACGCCTTATCGCCTAGCCACCTTTATCGCCTGGCTTCCGGAGTTCAGCCTGGACTTTGTCGGCAAGGTGTATCGCCTAGCAGGTAGAACAAAGTTCTCCCTTATCGCCTAGCCACCTTTATCGCCTGACACCGCGCAAGGACTCCCTAAGTTTGACTTTACCACGACCTAGCACCGTTGGATCTCAGCGTTGTAGCCTCAGCCTTGTAGACTTGTCGTCGTTCGGCGTCTCGACTTTGCGATCTTGATCCTTGGGCACTTCGGTTTCGATGTTTACTTATTCCGCGTTCACGCACTCGCTCTGATTCTCGCACTCGTACTGTCCCGAGCTGCGCTTGCGCCGTCCTTTTTATAGGCGCTGTAGGTGCCGTTATTTCCCTCGGGTCCAAGGTCCACTGAGGTACCGTTAATTCACGGTGTGTCCTCTTTGGGCGGGTCCGAAGTCCGCCAATTTACCGTATGACCCCGTTGCCCTTGCCGGGCGCGGGTCCAAGGTCCATCGAGGTACCGTTAATTCACGGTGTGTCCTCTTTAGGCGGGTCCGAAGTCCGCCAATTCACCGTATGACCTCGTTGCCCTTGCCATATGAGGGTCCAAGGTCCGAATGTTTCCCGTTTGACCTGGATGCCCTTCATTTCTCCGGCTTTCTCGCCTCCTCCGCTGTTGCTAGGCCGATCTCCTGCATCGGGATTTGTGGGGAGTTTATGACTCCTCACATTTCCCCCTTCCTTCGGAAACGTAATGAAAGTGGTGACTTTCCCCGCCCTTTATGTTTAGACTACTCGAATTCCCCGCCTGACTTGCGTGTTAGATGTTCCCCAGACAGTTCCCCGAAAGACTTAACCTTTCCCCAGACTGTTCTCCTAAAAGACTTTACCCGTACAGCTCCTTGAAAGACTTGAACTTTCCCGCGACTGTTTCCCTAAAAGACTTTTCCATGCAGCTCCTTGAAAGATTATTTCCCCAGACTGTTTCCCTGTTCCCCAGACAGTTCCCCGTTCTCCAGACAGTTCCCAGTTCCCCAGATAGTTCCCAGTTCCCATTTCCCAGACAGTTCCCAGTTCCCCAGACAGTTCCCAGTTCCCCAGACAGTTCCCAGTTCCCTGCGTGGAATTCGAATTTTCCCGCCCAGACATTTCCCCAAACTAAAAGTCACCATTTCGTTTTCCCTCGGTCCGGCAACTCCCTGGAATCTCACCACGATCGCGTTTATCGATTGTGGGTTCCAGTGTTGCCATCGTCGTTGCCTTTTCGTTGTCTTAAGTTGCCATTTGGATTTTTGAACATAGAAATAACCAATTTTGTTAACCCATCGATCGCAACTATCGATCGACCGCCTATCTCGGCGCCCCCGTCCCTATTACCTATGTCCGGCAACCCATTACTCCAAAAGGTAAATAAACAAACCAGTTTTGTGATTTTAAAACCATTAAAGGCCTTTTATTGGGCCCTCAGGACTCTCACCACCCCGTTTGCCACCCGGATGCGGTAGCGGACGCCATCTACCACCAGGAGTTTGGCCCAGCGGCTGCTACGGGCTCTCCTCTGCTGCCTGTTGGCCTCGGCTGCCACCCTGGGCGGCCACCTTCCTCGGCCATCTCCTCCCAGCGGCTGCTGTCCGCCGAATGTTGGCGGCTCACTGACGGCCTGCTGGTGGCGACCGCGGCTCCGGGCACGACGTCAGCCTGGCGACTTTGGGCGGCCGTGCGGCTGGCCCTCCTTGGGCGGCCACACCCAGGGCCCCTTCTCCCAGAACTCCGGCTCCCCACCGAGCCGTTTTGCTGGCAACGGCGATGGCGTTGGCACCCACGGCGGCGGTGGAGGCGGGGGTGTCTCCGCTCCGTGCCGTGGTGCCTGGGATGGCCGTGGTGCCTGCGGCGGTGACGGTGGTGGCGGTGGCGGTGTTGCTGCCCGGGGCGGCGACGGTGGTGGCGGTGGCGGTGTTGCTGCCCGGGGCGGCGACGGTGGTGGCGGTGGCGGTGCTGCGGCCCGGGGCGGCGACGGTGGTGGCGGTGGCGGTGCTGCGGCCCGGGGCGCGGTGGTGGTGCTGCGCCCGGGGCGGCGACGGTGGTGGCGGTGGCGGTGCTGCTGCCCGGGGCGGCGACGGTGGTGGCGGTGGGGTGCTGCGCCCGGGCGGCGACGGTGGTGGTGGCGGTTGCGACAGCGGTGGCGACGGCGGTGGAGGTGCTTGCAGCGGCGGCTGCTCCGGAGGGCCTGGCCGTGCCCAGATTGCTGCCTCTTCGGCCTCAGCCTCATCCAGCCGCTTCTGCCACTCCCTGGCTGCTGCGGCTGCCCGTGCCACCGCCCGCTGCGCGAACACTCGCCGCACCACCTCTGCCCGGGTTGCGAATATACGCTTTGCCTCCTCCGGGCGGCCCGATGGCGCTGCGTCGCCCAACCGGATCCGCCCGAATCCGGCTGCGGCCCCTCCTTATACGGCGGAATGCCATCCGGGCCTTTGCCGCCCGACGGGGCTCGTCCTCCTCGTCCGAGGAGACCTCCGGACTCACCGTCTCCGTCCCGGTGTCCTCCTGGGCTTCCTCCTCCTCCTCCTCGGACGAGGACAGGTCGATGGTCGGCACCTCGGCCTCCTGCCCTGCCGGACCGGACGCCGGCCTCCTCCTCCTCCTCCAGCTCCACGTCGGTGATCCGACCTTCGTCCTCCGTTTCGGGGTTCGGCGACGGGGACCGCGACACCAGGGGGACGCCAGCAGCTGGAGTGCGGAACCTGAGTCCCGCCTCCATCTCGCCGCTGGCTGTTGCCCGGTGCTGCCTCCCCGCCCCTCCCCCCTCATGGACTTGACTGTTGCTGCTGCTGCGTGCTTTCATCTTGGCGACCTGATTTTAATAGGCCCGTCTTGTGGCGCTCGCGCGCTGACGAAACCTCGGTTGCCCATGTTTCCGGTTCCGTTATCCGCGGCGGCCTTTGGACTTTCCCTTGCTACGGGGCTCCGACGGGTCCCTGCTTTGGTATGCGTTACCCGGTAACGGTATCCGCATCCTATGACCCTCCCTCTCCCGCTCTCGCGCTCCTAATGCATCTGTGTGAGTTCGATACTGTGTATCGTCCTCTCCCTCTCTTTGGATTCACAGTGCGCCCCCGCTAGGTCCGACTTCGATCCTTTGTTTTGGCCATCAATAAATTGTTTTTTTAATTGGCTAACGTGGGCGGTTTTTTCTTTGCCAGTCTTTTCATGCCGCAAATTGCATATCACCGGCGAATTAAAATTTATTATCTTAAAAGGCCCGTCATATTTTGGTGCCAATTTTGCGGCGAATTCTTCTGCGGCCTTGAACAGATGATGTTCTTTAGCCCAGACTGTGTCCCCGATGTTCGGCTTCCATGGGCGTCTACGGAGATTGTAGTGGCGTGCCTGATCCTGCGCTGCCTTTTCCATATTTCGCCTCACCCGCTCGAAGATTTCTTTCAGCTTCTGTGCGTTTTCGGCCGGGGTTTGCGTTTCCCTTCCTGTGCCGATTGTTCCTTCGTCGTACAGTGCGCTGGGTAACCTAGGCTCTCTCCCTTGCGCAATAAAAGCAGGCGAATATCCTGTGGATTCAGCCACGCTCGTATTTACGGCCAACTGCAGTTCCGGCCACTTTTCGTCCCAAGTCCTCTGGTCTGTCCCGGTGAACTGGGCGATCATCGTTTTCACCGTCCTGTTGGCTCTCTCCGTCGGGTTTTCCTGGGGCGTGTATGGGGCCGTAAACTGGTGTCGGACGCCTAATTCACCCAGGAATTTTTTAAACGCCCTGCTGGTGAACTGAACGCCATTGTCTGTAATCAGCACCTTGGGTACGCCGTATCTTGCGAGGATCCGCTCGCGGATCGCCTTTTCCAGAGTTTCCGTCGTTGCCCTGCGCATTGGCACCATTTCGGTCCACTTGGAGAACCTATCTACCAGCACTAGTAGCATAGAATTCCCGTGTTTGGAGCGGGGCAGTGGTCCGACGAAATCTGCGCACACAGTGGCCCACGGCTCTTCCGGTACTTGGGTCAGCATTTTTCCGGCCGCCTGTAGTTGGCTTGGCTTATATCGTAGGCAGCTCTCGCAGTTTTGCACATATTTCCTTATGTCGCGGTGCATTCCCGGCCAATGGTATCTTGCTGCGACTCTGGCAATTGTTTTCCGACTGCCCATGTGGCCAGCTGTCGGTGAGTTGTGGTTCTCCGACATTACCCGCCGCCTGGACCCCGTTGGCACGCACAGCTTCCATGATGTGACATCCTCGTTGCCTGCTCTGTGCGGTATGTGGCGATATAGCTGGTCGGCTTCTGTCATGTAGTCTGGATATTTTTGGGGATTTTGGGAAATCTTGCTCCGCATATCCCTTATCCAGTTACACTCGCCGGTTTCCTTGTGCTGTTCCTGTGTTTTTACCCGTCGACACGTTTCTGGCAGTGGCTGTCGTGATAGTGCGTCTGCTACTATATTCAGCTGGCCCTTTCTGTACGCGATCTCAAAGTCATATTGCTGCAGTTCCAGCGCCCATCGTGCGATTCTTCCGGTTGGGCTCTCGATGCTATTCAACCACTTCAGTGCCATATGATCCGTGATCACTTTGAAGTGGTAGCCCTCCAAGTATGGCCTTAACTTGCGTATGGCCCACACAATTGCCAGGCATTCCTTCTCAGTCGCTGAGAAATTTCTTTCCGAACCATTTAGGGACCTACTGGAATACGAGATCACCCTCTCGCCTTGGTCGGAATTCTGTGTGAGAATAGCACCGAGCCCGTAATCGCTGGCGTCGGTCTGCAGCACAAATGTCTTTGTGAAATCTGGGCATGCTAAGATTGGGTCTGCGATTAGCCTGGCCTTGACAGCTTCAAACGCCTGTTGATGGTCATCTGTCCATTCCCATTTTGTGCTTTTCCGGAGCAGGCTATTCAACGGATGCACCAACGTTGCAAAATCTGGCACAAAACGCCTGTACCACGACGCCACTCCCAAATATTGTCGTAACTCCTTAACGTTGGCCGGTGGTTTTATTAAGGCAATTGCCGACACTTTTTCTGGGTCTGTTCCGATGCCTTGGTCTGTTATGCGATGCCCCAAGTATTGCAGTTCCTTTCTAAAAAATTTGCATTTTTCCGCATTTACTTTCAGGTTGGCGGCCCGTAGTCTCCTAAACACTTCCTTCAGGTTTTCCATATGCTCTTCGAGCGTTCGTCCGATGACGATAATGTCGTCCTGATACGCGAAGGCATGCGGCATCATTTCTGGTCCAATGACTTGATCCAATGCCCGCTGGAATGTTGCCGACGCGGAGTGTAGGCCAAATGGCATCACCTTCCATTGGAACAGGCCCTTCCCTGGTACAGTAAACGCCGTATACTGCCTGCTGTCTGCCTCCAAGGGGATCTGCCAGTAACCGTCCTTTAGATCGAGACTGCTGATGTACTTCGCCTCTCGCAGCTGGTCCAGGATGTAATTTATCATCGGCATCGGGTATGCGTCCTTTATGGACCTCGCATTTATTTGCCGGAAATCCACACACAGCCTCCACTTTCCAGTCTTCTTTCTCACCATGACTATTGGTGAGCTGTAGGGACTCCTGGACGGCTCGATACATCCTTTTTCCAGCAGCTCGTCTACCTTGGCATTTATCTCACCCTGCATTTTTGGATTTTTAGGGTAGTACCGTTGTTTGACTGGTTGGTCGTCCTTCATGGTGATCCTATGTACGGCCACGTTGGATGTACCATTTATTCCTTCCAGTTCGTCCAACTCGGCTTTTAAAAATCCCTCCACATCCTTTTCCGCAAATCTTTTGGGTGTTTCAACTATTGCCACTGACAGTTTTTCCTCCAGCCATCCTCCTCGTCTATTCTTTGCCGGTATCGACGCGCTGTGTCCTGCGCACTCGACTTCGGCCCCGATTCTGGTGAGGAAATTCCATCCCAACACCAGGGCGTCGATCAGTCCTGGTAAAATCAGCAGCTCCATTGAAATTGTTTTCGTTCCCAGTCCAATTTTGGTCTCCAGCTGTGATCTTATTTCCCCGCAGCGACCGTCTGCCATCCGTACTTGCCTTCTCGTGGGTCCGACCCTTCCTGCCGCCTGCAGCCTGTCCGCCAGCTCTTCGCTGATGAAACTCGCCGTGGCGCCGGTATCCACCGTGGCCTTAATCTTACTTTCACCTATGAGCACCGTGGCGGACAGTTGCATTTCTTCCGCCTGCAGGTCGCCCATTAATTTCGAGAGGCAGCACCTTGCGATCCCTGGCCGCCCCTCGGAGGCTGGGGTCGCTGGGCGTTTCCCGACCCGGAACAGCACTGAACCGTCCGAACTCCTATTTTTCCGCATCGCCAGCAGAACGTAAGCCGTTGGTTTCGGCATTCCTTCGCCCAGTGGTCTGGACCCCCGCATCTGCGGCAGGCCTGGGTAGGATTTGCTACGTATCCGCCGCGATTGTTTGCTGGTTCGTGGCCGCGCGGCGTACTTCGTGGTTGTGCGTCCGGGTCCTCCTGGCACCGCCTGCACACCGCACCCTGGTCTGATCTTGGCCTTGGTACTGGGTGGCTCTGCCCTTGCTGCTAGTGGCGATTGTTTTCCAGCTCGAATTTCTCCCGCTGCTGGTCGAGGTCCTCAAATTCGTGTGCCAGCGCCATCAATGTATCCAAATTTCGAAATTCATATGGGCGAACGAACATTCTGAGTGCCGGCGTGCTGTTGTCTTTTATCCTCTCCAGCGTTTCTTTGGTCGACATATTCAGTGGCCGCATCAGGGTCTCCATATCCACCATAAAATCTTTGAAGCTCTCCCCGTAGGCTTGCTTCCTCTGTCTGACCTGGTCCGCCAGCTTCGCCATGTATCCTCGGGGCAGAAAGTAATTTTGGAAGCTGTAGATGAAGTCTCCCCAGGTCTCCCAGTGCCGATTGTTGGCGATGAACCACTTCAAGGCTCTGCCTTGGAGCAGCTCCGGCATTGCTCGTGGGATCTGGTTTATGTCGAGACCGTAAGTCACGACTGACCACTCTACTTGCTCCAAAAATTCCAGCGGCTTGTCGTTTCCGTCGTAGCGGAAATTCCACTCCCGGACCTGCTTGGCCACCTTCGCGTAGTCCTGCGTGTGCGTCCTGGAATTCTCCTTTCTTTCCCGGCTATTTTCCCGCTGCCGACTTGCGTGGCTTGCGATGCTCGACACATCCAAGCTCGCTATGAGGCCCTCGGCACTTGCGGTTGTGATTTTAAATTTTGGCGTGGGCATTTTCCGGAATTTCTTTTCCAGGCCCGTTACCAAATCGGCGATGTCTGGCTCCTCTGCCGTCTGGTCGACGAAGTCTCCCAGCGTCTTCCTCATCGAATCGACTGAGCCCTCCAGTTCTATTCCTAGAACTTGGCTCACCTCGTCGAAGTCTTCCTTCCTGAGATTATAAATCCAGGACTTCCCCATCTCGGAACTTTTGTTTCCTTGGTCAGGACAATCACTCTTGGGCGCCAGATGTAACGACCTGATTCTTTATTTCTGCTCGCTACGTAAACGTGCGGCTAGCTCAGAGAGGTTGTGAGTTCGTTCCACCAAATTTATATTGAGTGACCGCCCGTGACCAAAGGATAACGCCAGAAATGATTAGGTTGGTGCTGGTTTATTGACTCTCTAAAATATAGCCTTATTGCTATTATTCTGCTGCCCGTTGTCGCTGTCTCCTGCTGCGTTGCTCCTGGCTCGCTGCTGCTCTGCTCCTGGCGTGCTGCTGCGTCGCTCCTGGCTTACCGCTGTGTTGCTTCGGCTTGCTGCT